AATTCCAATGAAAGCTTGCCTCATATCTTAATTAATCTTATAATGTGGCTGAGGATTTCCCCTTTCTCTCCTTAAACTTAAAAGGAGCCCCCACAATAAAAGACTTTCTCTGGGACTTTTCCTTGACCAAAATTCCAGGAATGTCCTAAAAGTACCGCAGGATAGTATCACCTGTAACGTGTCACTGCTATTGCAGATAGAGATGCAAGCCTCTGCTTGTCTTCTCCTCACCTGAGGGACAAGGAATTGCAACATTCTTCTGCTCAGCAATGAATACACCAAGATATTTCCTGTGTGCTGCTGATAGAATTCTCACAACTAATGAGAACAACATTTTGCATAAATTTCTGACTCATTTGCCAAATTACACAATTTACATTACTATATTTGGAAAATTGCACAAATTGTGCCAAACTAGAATTATCATTGTTTAATTTAAGAATCTGAAGCACTGGATAGGTTCTTTGTGTCCTTCTAAACAATCAGCCAGTGCTTCTATGTTTGCAGTGTGTGTACTTTCCTTCTCAAAGGGAGAGAAAGCTACAGACACTTTTTACAAATTACAGAGACTGAAGTAGTAAAAAAAGCCTCTTTGTTTTGCTCTTGATAGGAGGTAAGGAATCTCACAGGACTTTAAAATTCCATATTAAGGTGACTCATTCCATTAAGACAGCTGGAACTGATGAGAAGACAACATTTAGTGAGTATTTTTTTCATTCCTGTTCCTGCAAGTGCAGGTAGGGAGAAGCCATAGAGAGGGCAATGTGTGTGCTGATTCTTCCTAGTTATTAATTGGAACAGGTGGTCAAAATATCTGGTGTGCAATGGTGAGAAAGCTATTATACATAAAATTTGTATTAAGACAATTAAATGTTCCCCTAGACCCATTTAACAAATATGTTAGTAACATGCCCTAATTATTATACAAACCTTTCTTTCTGCTAGCCACTACTGTAAATAGAACTAAGATTCTGAATGTCAAAGCTGCATGCCAAATTATATATTTTAAAAGAAAATAAAATCTTGATGTACAAATCTTTACCAGGCATTATTTGCATCTAGATTCTTTTTCTAAGAAATTATTTTATGCTAGAGACAAACTATACATTCTGGGAAATTACTCTCTAGTAACTTGTATCCTCCAACACAGATTATCAAAGCCATCATCAAGAAAACATGAATTTGACCAATACCAAGAGCAATCATGGTCTGCAGCTTGAACAGTCAAGGCAAAGCAATTAACCTGATATGTTCTTTCATCATGCTGCTTCCCAATGAGCAAATATTACCATACTTCTAAATTAATATGTATTTATGTCTTCAAGATTTCTGCATAGTGCACTGTAATAAAAGAAAATGCTGTGTGGTCTTAGTTATATATCATTACTCATTTAAAATTTAATTACAGAGCAATCTACATGCCTGCAGGTTATTCATCTGTTAACTACTTAAGATAATCTTTCCATCTCTGTGATGGAGTGCTCTGTCTGTAGCTTGATTTTAGTAATAATGTTAGAAACAACTATGAGACAATACAGAGAATACCCTTAACATTAAAAAAAAGTGCTATTCTGCTTTTTTATACATGCACCACACCCATTGTTGTTTACAGATGTCTGAAGGCCCAGGTACTCTAGCTATTCCAATGAATGTGGTTTACACTTAATATCTGTTGCAGTTTTGGCAACCTTGCATGCTGCTTTTAATAAGTTTGGCTGGGAGAGGCCTTCTGGCCTGGGATGACTGTCAATCTGGGATGCATTAACCAATCATTTCTTCCCTGTCTCTAAATTCAAAGAGAGACCTCTTTGTTGAAAAATTAAACCATAATCGGGTGTTTGGAAAAGGGTTCAAGTGAGCAGGGAAAGAGCTGTAGCCCTGCCACTGTCTGCACATAAGAAAAGACAGTCTGAAGAAGAGGCAGTTTGCTTCATGTGGAGCCCTTCCTCATAATTTTCAGAGTCCACAGTGGTTCTATATGCAACATAGAATTTCCTCTTCAGATAGGCCCTCTTTTTGGGCAAGGCAGAATGACAACTCTACCTATTTACACATTCAGATTAATCCTTTTCCAAACACTGGACTAAGGCTTCAGATTCAAAAGTTTGTGTACTTTCATGTGTGAGACACAGAGAGAGGATGAAAGAAAATCAATCCAAACTACAGCTGCAGAAAAGTGTCTAAGAGCAATCAAGCTCAACACTCTTTTTTTCTGACAGTGGCTAGCCATGGCTAAATTATGGCAATCTGCATACTGATGACATAATATCATAGTCGATTGACATCTGCATATTTATAACATAATATTACACCTAGGGTTTGTTTGATGAACTTGCTTTTTTTAGAACTTCAGTGCCAACTGTCTCAATCCATACATCCTTGATTAATCTACTCTGTAGAATATAGGTTCCTGGTGGATGTTATGGTTTGCTGAATGTTTTGAAATGGTTCTCAATTCAAAAAGCAAAGCAAAACATTTCAGAATGCTTTGGAAATGTTGCATTTGAAAGAGGAAATAAATGTAGGAAAGTATTAGGAGAGCAGAAATATATTAAGACACAAATGCATGTATTTTGAGAGAAAACACTTTAAGGAATACTATTTTAAATATGTTTTAAAAATTAAATTCTAATTGTTATGTTTGGAAACTTCTCTTGCAGAAGTGAGATGCAACAGACTTATGAGTAAATAATATGCCAATGACATGGTGTCCACCATCCTTCCCTAATTCCAAGAGTTTGATGTAGCTGATTAAAATACATCCTAAGAGACTCAAGGGACATTTTCCATGAAAAGCAAAAGCATTCCAATGCAGCAGTTTCTTTGAGGAAGAATGAGACCACCAGATGCAGTGCCTGAAACTCTTCCTCTGGAAAGGTTAATCTAGATATAAACCATGGGTGACAGATAAATAAAAGTAAAAAAAAAAAGCAAGCAGATCCTTTTCAGTTATGTAAATCACGGGAGGAAGGTTTCAGGATCAAAGTTAAAATCACAGATGTCATCTGCAAACTCAGAGCAGAATCAAGGAGAACTCCTGTTTAAAGTCTAGAGTCACTCTTGTTGTGGCCAGTCCCTACTGTTTGTTTGTTTGTTTGTTTGTTTGTTTGTTTGTTTGTTTGTTTGTTTGTTTATTAAATTTATACCCCACCCCTCTAGACCACATCTACTGTTTATTCTTGATTGCAAAGAGTAAACAAAAAAGAAAAAGAAAAATTGCTAAACAGTCCCTTTGCACAACAATGAGTGTATTGTCCATAACATGGAAGATTGTTAAACATAAAATAATCATCACAAGCTGGTGCAACAATATGGCTGAAAGTTTACTTATAAGACAAGTCCTACAGTGAAGAGTGGACCATTCTTTCTTTGTTACTTTCATTGTGCCTGTCATTCTTCCACTTTTACTTTCTTAGATGGATTGGTCTAGGAGAGAAAGTCAAGCCATCCATCACGTAAGTAAGTGAAATAAAAAGGTACATGGTAATTGCTTGCACCCGATCTGTTGTAAAAAATGTTTCTGAAAGTCTGACCTTTATCAGATTCTTACCTGCCTCAGATCCCTTTCCTTTGAGTTTCCGCTTAATTTATGTGTGAAATGGAGCAAAGGCATAGCCACTGGATTATGAACAGGTCATCTCCTCCTTTCAGTGTTAGCAAGTGTATTTTTTCAGGGTCAAAACAATCAGTGGTGGTAAATGGATAACCATACTGCAGCTTGAGGTGCCAGTCTGACTCACTAAAAATAACAGTGTGCTTCTCAACATGGGCTCAAGTCTCTAGTGATCTTACAGTTTCTGCACAATGTATAACTTGAGTGGAGAGACAGAGCAAAAAACCTAAAAAGTTCTCCATATTTAGGTATGTTCAAGATTCTGCACGTTTTCAATGATGAACTTAGTTAAAATGGCAAATTTAGGATTGCCCTATAATTAGCCAGGATTTCCAGATCAAGGTCAGGTTTCTTTAACAGGAATTTTATAATGACTTCTTTTAGACAGGAACTGAAAGCCCTTTCAGTAAAGTGAGCATTTTAAGACTCCCTTATGTATTTCATCAGTTCCACCTTTGCATGTTTACTTACCCAAGAGGAGCAATGATTGAGTCAGTAGGTGTTGTCCCTCACCATTCCAAACACACTATCAACATCCCTGAGATCTACAAGCTGAGAAGAATCTCAGCTAACCAGACAAGTGGTTGTAGGAGTTACATCAACTTGACCTACTCCAATATTGAAATACTTCTCAAGATAATTCCTGGAAATAATGCACCATGAGCAACTGATTGTTCTGGCACCTTGTGCCAGAATTGTCAGACAGCAAACACTGCAACTGTCTCATGTTAAGGCAGTCTTTATTCATGAAGGAGGATGACTGCCCTATCTATGGGTCAACCCATTAGTTCAAACTGAATACATCAGGCACCTTCACAACAAGGAGGAGGTAGAGCAGTGTCTACAACCTGGGGGTCATGACCCCCAAGGTGTCACAAAGTATTTTCTGGTGGGTCATGCACCACCTTAGATTTAATCCTTGTTAAATAATTTCTTCCCTGACCTTTCAGAACCAGATATTAAAGTGAGCATGTATGTGTAAGAATATGAAACAGGCCCTCTGTGAGAGAAAAAAATACTACTTTCTGAGAAGGGATGACTTTGCCTCCATTAAAAATGTCTTTTTATGCAAATGTAGGGGGGTTCTCGGGTTATTTGGCTATTATAAAAGGGGGTCAACACTCAATAAAGATTGGGAACCACTGAGATAGAGGCAAAGTGGTTACCTGTCTACTTGTCAAAGGCTCTGGGAATCCAAACAGGCAGCACAAAATAATAGATGAGAAGTGAACTTTCACACAGTCTTCTAAAAATCTTCTGCTGACAGCAAACATAAAATCTATAACTCCAAACCAGCATCTCCCTAGTGTCCCGCTATTTCCAATTAGCAATCTGGAAGCCTTGAAATGCTGTCTGTTTGTTCTAATGTTCTCAAACTACACCTCACCTTGGGACAAATGCATATGCTGTATATTATTTATTTTCTGATGCTTCCTTGTTGAATGCACTGTTTCCAAACGCTTCTGGAATAATACTCATAACAGGAACATCACATTTCACTTTCCACACTGGCCTTGCCCAGATGCATGACGTCCTCTTCTTTGGAAGCTGACACAGCAAAGTAAGGCATGACGCTCATTCCCCTATGACCTAGTGAAAAAGGTCTTGCACAGTCTGGAAAGGCATTGTTCATTGCTGCATGGAGACACAATAGTAGTAAAGGTATGGGCTTTCTTAGCTGCTCTTGCCAGAGTCAGATGGGTTACAGTCAGGTTGTATTTCTGAGTTGTTCTATAATGACATTCTATCCACCACTACTCCTATTCCATTACCCTCAGCTCCAAGTTAAATTTGAGATATGATTTTCTGTATAAGTGAGAAGGGGGCCCTTAAGAGCAATAGCATGAACTATTAGTTATAGCTATTTCAGCCTTCCACAGTTTGGCCAGAACTTAAACAATATTAGTAACGGGTGAAGCAGAGAGCATTCAGAAAACCTTTGGGTGTAAAGAGGGAATTGTTGATACTGAAACAGAAATTCTTCTCTTAATCTACTGGCTGAAAACAACAAAAGACATTCCAAATATTTTTGAATAATCACCATATTCTATACGTACATATATGTGGAATTTACCAATGGATTCTAAATGTATTCCTAAATTGTATGTAAATGGAAAATTCTTCCCTTGAGGTTCATAGATATTTAAAATCATATAAATTTAATGAAGGCAGCTGAAATCAATGGTCTGATAAAGTAAGGTACAGTTTAGGCAGGCAGTGATTTCTATCTAATCTTGTCCATGAAAACAGACTTTTTATTCATGGAATAGCTGCAGCTATGTTCATAACCAAAGTTATTTTCAGTACCACCGTAGGATAACAATGGCATTATCATCTGCTAATGTAAGATAAAATTTTATCATTATCATTGTCTGTCATGCAGACGGACAAGCATATCGGAGGGCAGCATCTAATATCATTTTGTACTGGCTTTGGGAGGATATTGCCATGCTTCATGGACTCTCCATGCTTCATGATTCAGGGAAAGAAATTTCTTCTAATCACATTCAGTTTAATGGCTGGGACAGAAGATTGTGTTGTGCAGAACTATGTTGAACATGAAGATTTAGCACCACCACTGTCTTGTTATTTATACTGAGATTTTGATGAAACACATAACGAAATCAGAACAGCCATTAAGTATACCTCCCCCTTTTTTAAACAATACTCAACACAAATAATTTATTACCACGCTATAAGAGTTCAAGAAAATAAACAGTTTATCCTATAACATCTACCCCAAAGCAGCCTTGTTATGAATACTGTATAGGTCAGACAACTAGTATTAAATATGAATGTGGCTGTATTTTTTCTTGTAACCAAATAATAGTGCAAAAGAAGTATAGATCAATTTCTCTGCACTGCTTTATGCCAGAAATAAGCAAGTGGAGTGAGCATCTGGGCAGTGAGATGATTCTGTCTGAGATGAGCCATGGAAAGCCAACCTGTTGTTCTGGGCAAACTCATCCCTATCTGCTTGACAGTAAGTATTCCCCATTTATCTATTTAGCCATTCTACCCATAGCCATTTCTAAGGAGATTTGCAAATTAGAAGGACAGAAGATGAAGGAATAAAGGAACAGAAGCAAGGGAACAGCAACATCAGTAAAGTCAGCTGAAACACACTTTAACAATTAATGTTATCTATATGCATAAGAATTTGTTCATTTCTGATAAAATAATTATTCAAAAAAGTACACATGTCTTCCTATTTGAGATGGAAAGAACTTCAGGTTTTAGGGGAAGAAAAACAAAATCTCATAGATTCATCCTTTCAAATTGAGGGCTTTGAGTGCCTAATTTTAAAAGTCTGGGTTTGAAATCCTGTGTTTTTTCACAATACCTCTCCCACATGCTAAATATTGCTGTCTTCTGTGGCATGAGATTTTTCTCACTAACAGATCTTGCATTAAGTGTGCTCTGTTTTCTCAATGGTCACTGGAAGAGAAACACTAGCTTAATCTGCAAGCGTGATGTTCAAGGCACATATCTCTATGGAAATTCTGTTGTGTGAAGATAAATTAATTTTCAGGGAATGCACAGTCCCTTTAATGGCAAATTTGACCATCACTGTGATGAAATGCTAAATTTTGTCGAAGCCATCAGTAAGTTTGCTAATGAGCACTGTCTCCAAATTAGTTCTTCCTTCCCCTCCAGCTCAGGGAGTTAGGCCTCAGTCTGCACAGCCAGAGAAGCTGGGAGTTTGATTCCCTTCTATGTCTCCCAGGAGCAGAGTCAACCTGTGTATATTAGTATTAGTTTTGGTATTAGTGTTAGTATGATCATTATTTCCCTATGTGCACTTTGAATTGTGCCCAGAAATTAACCTGTAGCCTGTGAAGCTGGTTAACAAGGAGTTTCTGTTCTCCCTGCAATCCGATCCATTCATGAGTATATTCAAAGCATCCTGGATATGCTGAAGTTTCCAAACACTTTGCAAAGGCAGCTCCATATAGAGTACATTACAGTGGGATGTAACTAGGGCATGTGTTGCTATGGCTAGATCAGCCATCTCAACAAATAGGAGTAGATGGTACACTAGTTTTGACTGTGCAAACACATCCTTGGCCAATGCTGAAATGTCGGCATCTAGGCACAGGGCTGTGCAGCAGTATTTTCAGGAGGTTAACCCCAACCAGCCTTCTTCTTTGGTTTTCTTTTTGACTGATTGGAAACACCCTGTCTTTCCTGTCTGGATTAAGCTTAGAATGTTTTGCCCTTAACCAATCCATTACTCACCCTGGATACTGTTTTAGGATTGAAACAACTTCCATGGAATTAGATAGAAAGGTGTGGCATAGGAAGACAGAGGAAGCCTGAACCAAGGGATCCCTCCCCTCACTGTCTTTGAAAACAGTGTGTGTGTGGGGGAATTGCTTCTGTTAAAGTTGCCCAAAAGGAAGCCCTCTCCACTGTTGTTTGCAATGGAAGATAGTCTACTGGAACAGAAACCAACCTTCTGGCAGCCTAGCTTCTGTTTGGCGGCAGCAGAGCAGGATGTAGCAGGACAAGGTAAGTGGCAGTGGGAAGGGGGTAGGGGGCCAAGGGCTATGGGGATGGACTGGGAGGAAATTCATGGTTCATTGTTAGTCAAGGCTGATGACCCATGAACCAAGACAAACTGCCTTTTTGGTGGTTCGTCCCCATCTCTAGTTCCCAGTATGGAAGGACTATGCCATACCTACCTGCCATATATGTATTAAAGATTTAGAGTCTATCAGAAAAAGGAAGCATTCTTCAAATGTAACATGGGGTGAAATCCTATTGTTCTGTTACACATGCAGAAAGCAAATAGTGTAACTTTCAGTGCCTTCTGACTGGCAGTTAACAGATCCCTGTTGAGATTCTCAAGCACACCAAGCTAACCGGAGTGTGAATCCCCAAAAGTCCCAGCAGTGACTCTTTAATTGCCGGTTAGAAGCAACTGAATATTACAATGCTTGCCCTCTTCATGAGTAACAAACTTACAGAATTTCAGCCACTGGCTTTTAAATACAGACATTTATTAATAACAAAGGAAAACAAAAAACATTTTGGCAACTTTTAGAACAGAATTGTTTCAGTGAAAACTTTTGTGCATCGCAATCCACTTTTCCAGACACAGTGTACAAGGCACAGACATAAAAGTGGGACTAAGTGGTGTGGGGAACAGAAAATGACAATTGTGTATTAAAACAGAGTAATGAGCTTCTAGGGGGCATGGTGGCGCTGTAGGTTAAACCGCAGAAGCTTCAGTGCTGCAAGGTCAGAAGACCAGCAGTGGTAAGATCACATCCACGTGATGGAGTGAGCTCCCATCGCTTGTCCCAGCTCCTGCCAACCTAGCAGTTCGAAAGTATGTAAATGATGCTAACCACGGTGGAAAGGTAATGGTGTTCCGTGTCTAGTTGCGCTGGCCATGTGACCATGGAAACTGTCTACGGACAAACACTGGTTCTATGGCTTGGAGACGGGGATGAGCACCACGCCCTAGAGTCGGACACGACTGGACTAAAGGTCAAGGGGAACCTTTACCTTTAATGAGCTTCTAAGGTGATAGTGAATTGTTAACAGTGAATATCCAAGGTGTTGGTAACATTAACCTCCTGACAATCTTGGCTATAAGTGGATATTAAAAAAACTAGTTTTTAGAATATGTTTCAGCACTTGAGGGGTCAGGAAGTAGTAAGTTGTATTGTGATCAGGGTTTTTTGAAGTTGCTGAAACAGACTACATTTCTGAAAACTTTTATGAGTAAACACTCAAAGAACAAAACTCACATGCATTTGAGTTTCCTGCAGATTTGGTGGCTTACACATTCTTCCCATGATTTTTCTAAACAAAAATATTGATTACTTAAAATTAAAGGGGGAAAAAAACAATCTCAAGAAAAAAGTTATTTGGTTAAGTGTAAACAACAAAATGAGTTTTCCTCATCTAAATGATCTTACTATCTCCAAAGTTGCCATTCTGCCATGTACAAAATAAACCTGAATATTAAAGAACACATTTAACTGCTTTCCATAAGAACAAAAGTTCAATTACTATTGGAAACCTATCTACTGTTTCCATATTGATTCAATTAAATTCCTGTGTTCAGTTATATTGTCAACCACAGTTTTCAAAGCTCAAATCAATCTTTCTCCAGTCAAGCTTCTGATCTGCCATCAATATTAATTGATCTGTCACTGGTTCCCAGGACTTCAAGCATATATGATGAATTTTTTTGTTGTATACCAAGTCATTAATCTTTCATTTGCAATAACCAGCATTGTATGCAATAAAGAGACTGAAACCAGCATCTGAAATGTTAATGCACTGGCCCCCTATCACTGAATCTAGGGGTTCAGCACTGCTTATTTATTTATTTATAAACAAGATTATTTTAGCCGCACCATTACCAATGGTCTCTGAGTGGCGTAAAACAACAACATTAAAACTTTAAAAATTTAAGACCATTAAAAATAGGCAATATTATAATAATACCCTATATTAAAAACAATCATTAAAACATTAATATTAATAAATCCTGCTGCTCATATGGCCAGCTAAAGGATACTATTTAATTAAAATGCTGGCTAAACAGAAAGGTCTTTGCCTGGCACCAAAAAGCCAAACATGTTGGAGCCAGGTGGATCTCTATAGGGAGG